AAGCCCCCGGCATGACCGCCGGTCCCTGCAGCAAACGCTTTCGTGCTGCACCTCCGACGGGAAACGCCTCGGGGAGAAGGAGAAACTGCGGCTCTCAATGTCAGCTCATTGCGAGTGCGAGCCCCTGAGCAGTACGGGGAAATATGGGCTTCAGCTGTGACCAGTAGGTATTTCAGATCCTTGTATCCCTTGTTGTGCCGGGTAGGTTTTGGTGCCCCAACAGGAAGCGGCGGCATAGAGAGGAGTTTGTTTGGAATACATTTTGTGCTCTGTTTCACTGCTCCGAATTAAAAAAAAAACAAACAAAACACAAACAAAAAAACAATAAACCAAAAGAAAACAAAACAAACTAGGCTGAAGTCAAGCAGTGAGCAGGAGGGAGGGTGTCCATCACCTCCTGCTCAGCAACTCCAGAGCTGCTCGGAGGGTTGCCGGGATCTCATCACCCCCCAAATGCAAACCACTCCTTGCACCCATCCCCTCCCCAGCGAGGGAGAGGCAGCAGTTAGGATTTCCACATTTTGGGGGAAACAACACTCAAAAACCTCCTTGCTCTTGCAGCGTGGCGAGGGAGGGAGCGCGGGGAGGTCTGGGCGGCAGCGGTGAGGGGAAGAGCTGGAGAGAGTATTCCTGGGGGGCTCAGCACACCGGGGGAGAGACTGGAGGGAGGCAGGGGGAGGGCAAACACCTGCAGGTCCCCGGAGGGGTACCGAGGGAGCCCTGCCTGGCACAGGCGTGAGGACCTCCAGCCTCCGCTGGCTCGGGGGGAGAGGGCTTGCCGCCCCATGAGAAGAGGTGCGTGCGCATCTCTCCCTGCGCAGCACGGAAGATAAGCCGAAGGCGTGCTACGGAGGGCTCCGGAGAGGACCGGGCACGCCACCGCTCTTGCAGGTAGCAGGGACGTCAGCATCCCGCTGCTTTTTAATTTAAGAACTACCCTGTTTTCTACCAAATTACAGCCAGGTGCACCCTGTTTGCAGAGCTCCTCCATGCACCCCATCCCAGCAGACCTGCCGCTCTGCCGGCGCTGCCGAGGAGCCCTCGTGCTCCCACTGTGCCCCCGGGCAAGGGTCCCGCTTCACCGATGGCGGAAACACCAGAACCCTTTCTGTTACTGATCTAGAATATTTTTAAGAGATAGTCTGGATAGTGGTATTTAGCAAAATCCCGTAATAACAGTAATAAAGAGAAGCCTGCAGGAGGAGAAGATGGCTACACCCAGGCATTACACTGAAAGCTGCTACGTGAACGCTCGCGGTGCATGAAACACCTCCTGGAAAAAGCTGAAAGCAAAAACCTGACAGCATTTCTTCAAACTTTTTTCAAACTCTGGTTTTCCCCACAAACCAGAGGGGAGTTCCCCCCCCTGCCCCCGGCGGCGCTGCTGGGAGGGACAAGACAGGAGAGGAGCGCTGTGCCCAATGTACAGCCACACCGAGCATCCCTGCAACGCCCGGTCACATCTCATGGGCTGCCAGCCCAGCGCACACCAGGAGCCGTGCCCTGCTTTGGCAGCGTTCATGCTCCTGACATTTATATCACTCCCAAGCATCCCTGACCAAGCATCACCACGGCCATCCTTTCATCTCCCACCGCAAATTCCGTGAAGGCAGGTAGCTACGCATCACACCCCGGATGCCTTACGAGTACCCGGGCAATGCTGAGCCCTTCGTGAGCCAAAACTCCTATGGACCTGGGTGGGTTTTTCCCAGGGGAGAAAATCAAGGCAGGAGCTCTCAATCTAGCTTTGGCATTCAAAATTCTGCCCGCTCCTCAGCCATGGGTCTGCAAAAGGCATCCACTACACACAGACCCCTGCAAGAGTGAGGGCAATGCCCTAAAATCACGTTCAAGACTGGTTTCTGCACCGAGCAGTGTTTAAAATGACCGATGCTCACAAGAGAGCTACAAGAGGAAGGATGGAGAGCGTGGTCCCCATACGAACAACATTTTCCAGGTCTCAGTAAATCCGCCGGAGTAGGGCAGAGCGCAGCTAGCAAATGTATGAAATGTATTTTATTCCCGTCAAACAGAGGAGTATAGTAACAAGGAAAACACTAAGCTGTCGCCACCGCTTGCAAAGGAAAACTGGGACAAAGAAGACACTGATCTACCCTCGCTAAATACGCAGGTTTGTTTATTTATATTCCACTTAGGGAGCAAAAGTGAAGCGCACACAATTAAGAATGTTTCTGAGCAACCATCACATCAGGCTCTTCAAAGTACACGCACACTGGTGTTGCACAGAAAGCCAAAGCCTCCCCTAAATTGGGTGAAATCACTGCTCCCAAGATCAAAATCCAGCCCACAGCTCCTACCCGTTCCCACGCATTCCTGTTATCGGACAGTCTCGCCCCATTCTCAATCACGCAAAAAGTCATCCCGCGATTTGAGACCCAACGCACCCATCAGAAAGAGGAACACTGAGCTACCTCAAGCTCTTCCTGCACGTGGGATGGCTGGAGAGGACTTCCCACCTGGACTGCGACGCTTACAGTCAAGCTGCATCCCCAGCCCGGCACGCTGTGCTCGGCCCCCGCTGCAGAGCCCCGGCTCACAGACGTACCAGCAACGGGACCCTCTGCAACGGGACCCGCTGGGTATTTTATCCACGCTGAAACACTTTTAGAAAATTCCAGCTTTTTCCAAGAGCTCCCCAGCACGTGTCAGCCGTGATGACCCCAGAAGCCAAGCAGCTGTCTGCTGCCGGCAAGGAGCTGCTGGCATTGCGGCGCTTCGCTGCTGCTTTTAATAGAGAAATCCTTTAGAATAGACTCGTTTTCTATGTCTGTTGGCACTTTTCTGCACAGGCACGCCAGCGGATGTTTCCTACACATCCCCACCCAAACGATGTCCCCTACACATCCCCCCCCAAACGTGCTGCGGCTCCATGACCCACCCCGGGCGCGAGAGCCGGGCACTGGCAGGAGGATGCGAGCGTCAGCAAAACCCATCCGCAGCGCGAGCCTGAGCGGCGAGCGACCTGCCTCCACACCGAGGAGCACGAGACGACATGGGGACCGTGCCCGTGATGCCCCCCCCGCCCTGGGGTGACAGAGAGCCAAACCCAGCGATACAGCCATCAAACCCAGGGTGACCGCTTGGATCCGGGGTGCGGCCCCTGCGGGGAGGCGCAGAGCCCTCGGCAAGGTGCGCTCCAGCAGCGTGGTGGGCGGCCATCCTCTCCATCCCTCCAGGGGATGCGGGTGGCATTTGGGGACCGTGCCCGTGATGCCCCCCCCGCCCTGGGGTGACAGAGAGCCAAACCCAGCGATACAGCCATCAAACCCAGGGTGACCGCTTGGATCCGGGGTGCGGCCCCTGCGGGGAGGCGCAGAGCCCTCGGCAAGGTGCGCTCCAGCAGCGTGGTGGGCGGCCATCCTCTCCATCCCTCCAGGGGATGCGGGTGGCATTTCGCCCAGCCTCCGCACCTGCTTCTGTGTCACCTGGAGGAGCACCCCAAAAAGGCACGTCCCCCTGCTCAGACTTCGAGCAAGAACCCACGCACCGCTGGAGCTCTGGCTTCTCCCCACCCCACCAAGGCACTCAGCACCTAAATAAGCCCTTGGCTTACCGACATTTTAATGACAAGGGGCAAATAGAGGGGGAAAGTCTTTTTTTTTTTTTTTTTCCCCCACTTGTTTTGATCATTTTGAGGCACAAAATGCATAGAGTATGGTTTGTCTCAGAACAAAGGGATAGCACTGAACAATGCAAATAATTTAGCATCAGGCCAAGTCCTCGGAATTAATAAAGTTTAGCGCTAACAGGTTAAAAGGCTATTCAAGGTATTACAGATACTACGCACGGCCAGTTACTTTGAAAATATGCTATTAATATTATTGTCTAATATTAATATGTGAATCAACAATAGCATGCAGGTAACATAAAAGGGTATAAGAAAAATTAGGGTAAAACTCACATCCGGGTGTGGAATAGCGTATTGTCCCTGAATTGTATAGGCCTGCAAAAGGAGAGAAAAAAAGAAAACACGTTATTAGGGCTGGCGGGAAGCGGCGGCAAAGCCCCGTGCCTCCACAGGGACTGCCGTCCCTGGGCTCTGCTCCTTTCTGCCTGACGTGGGGTAAACGCTGTTAACACAGAGTCTAAAGAGGAGCTCAGCCCCCACCCCACCTGCCCGGGACCCCCAAACCACCGAGCGCGGGGAGCTGAGCGTTACGCCACCAGCGCACCTCTCCCCTCGCTCCGCTCCCAGTGAATTTTGACTGAACCGGTTTGATTTTGAGGCTGGAGGGGACGAGGGAAGCAGTTTCCGTGCAGCGAGCGGTTGCCCCGTGCACCCTCTGGCCAGCCCGGGGGGAAAAGCCCTGGGAAGGTCCCTGGGGCGGGAGGGACACGTACCCCTCCGACCAGAGCCGGAGCACGCCGAGCTACCTAACTCGAAGGGCTCAGGCTCCATTTGGCTTTTCCAAAAGGAAGGAAGCAGCTCTTTAAAGGTGCCAGAACTGCACGGAGCAGGAAGACTGGGCTGCGCTGTGCCAAAGATATCCATCAAACCAGAATTATCTGTGTAGCGGATGCACGGTAACATCACCGCTGCCCTTCGCGCCTAAATGTGATCCTAGAAAGCAAGCCAGTGCAGTGAGTCTCTCCGTATTTTCAGGTGTGCAACCCTTTAATGCGCTTTCTGTCTACCCAGTATATTCCAGTGCAGGTATCGCCGTGCAGCAAAGCAGCTGGGCAGCGCGGTGCCGATGGCTCACCAAGCGTGGAGGGGCTGCCCGCATGGCAATGCCTCTCACCAGCTCTAATTAACAAAGCCAGGCAGATGTCTGCCAGGCAAATCGTTTAGCGGGGTTTTATTTCCCCATTGTGTGTAGCAATCTTGTCTCTTTTGTAAATAACCTGAAAATAAGCACCGCTGTGGGTAAAGAGCCAGACACTAGAGAGCCCAATATTTAGGATTTAACCAGCTAGCAAAACGTATCTCACTGGTTGACACATTATTCAGATGATTCTGAAAGAAATGACAAAAGAGATGGATAACACTTTAAAAAGGGAGAGTAAAGATAGCCAAGAAAACCAAAATGACCTCTGAACCTCCTGCAAATTTGCCACATTGTTTGCAAACAGCAAAGTGCTTTGTTTGAGGAAAAACCCCAAAATCCTGGAGGAGGAAGGAGGCAAAGTCCTGCCAGCATCCCAGCGCAGCAGGGACCGGTGTGCTCTTTCCTGGCGGTTTAATTTGGGGCTTTGGTTTTGTTTGGTTTTTTTGGGGTTTTTTGTTTTTTTTTTAATTAGAAGAATTGATTACAAAACACTAATTAAAGGCAGGAAGGTGTCTTGGACAGATGCAACCCAACTCTGACAGCCCCCGGCTGCGACCCCCGGCTTTCCGCAGGGGCCAGCCTTGCAGACAGACGACGGGGCCGGGTCCTTT